CTGAATTAAAGTAACGGCGCATTTTTTGCAGTAAATATGATCATAGATTGACACAAAAATTTTGTAATTACACCATAAATGCATATTATTAAATTCTACTGTGTTTCACAGTCAACACATATGGCTTTTTGGCTAGGTTTAAAGGGAAAGAGCACTTTTAGAAAAAGAAGGCAATAATAGATGGCACTCGATTTCAATGCAAAAGAAAAGGCAGTAGAGCTGACTATTTCTGTCAATGGTAAGTTTGTGATAACGTAAGAAAAGTAGTTTAAATGTTTGCCACTTGCTCGAGCAACTTAATATATAAATCTAGAAGTAAATGCAAAAGTAAAAAGCATTGAATAATGTGTTGCTTATATTTATTGTGTTTAAACATGTCTGTGAAAGATTGTATTACTGTACTGTGTAAAAAAAATAATTGCAATGCTGAAAAAGCATTTTCAGTGACACTGTTTTGGACTTTAAATCAAAATAATGGATAAATGTTGTGTTTGTGGTAAACAGCCATGATTCAGTAGCGGACTCCTGTGTGAAAGCTGCTTCCCCTCTCACAAGAGTCACCTAAGAGGAGACTTCATTTTCAAAAATGAAATTCAGGCCCTGAATAAATGTCTAAAAATTCTGATTGGAGTATCACTATAAATAGTTATAAATGATAAAAAGAAGGCTTTAAAAAGATCGGTATCTGTGATCGGTATCGGCAGATACTGCTTTCTGTGATCGGTGATCGGCCTCAAAAATCCTAATCGGAGCACCCCTACTATTTTCATTTGAAAATTTAATATTAATATAAAAATATTACAGTGCATGTGGCATAACATACAGTCACAGAACTGATTAAAGACAGTGACAGATATCACTCAGTCAATTCACTCATTACTAAATATCAGAGTGATTGACAGAGATACAGTAGAAACATTATGTGTGGTTTTGTATTAAATATTGTTTTGTATTAAATAATGACCCAGATCATCGTGAAATACATTTATTAGCCTTAGGGAAGCACAACTTGGGAAATGAGAGCATCCGAGGGGCATGTGCATGCTATGTATATTTATTTTAAATATTTTAAATGTTCATTAATGTTATCCATGTTTTTTTTGTGCCTCTTTTTTAAAAGTATCGGTTCAGGCACCGTTTAGGCACCGGTACCCTTTTAAAAGTATAGATTTGGCACCGGTATCGTAAAAAACCCAATCGATACCCAACCCTATTTATTATAAATAACCCTCTGACTTTTTTTACATTCTTGTGCCTTTGTAATCTTTAATCGAATATTCTGCCGAATGCATAAATGTAGTAATTATTTTTTTAAATAAGCATAAATTAAAAAAAGGCAATAAAAGAAATACTTTTAATAATAATATTATAGCTGTTGTAATATATGGTGCTAGGTAGGTGGGTGACTCTAAACTCCCCCCCCCACAAAACCACAAAAGTGATTCTCATTGCTGTCTCATTACTGTTAATTCTGGCAAGTACATAAAGGTATTACAGTAAAAAGATAGATGTAATACAATCAAAGGCAGTACAAGAAATACTACCATTTAAATCTGAAGTATTGATATTAGATTTTTTTCCCTTTTGCATTACAGTGATGGTGCTAAAACAGGCATAATTTACTAAAAGTTTATTTTCATTTTGGGGTAAAACATGATCTGGAGATGTTTTTAACAGATTACACAATATTCACACCAGTTTAAATGTATATTAAATGTATTCCTACTTCACATCACTTCTTTCTGTGTCTGTTGCATGTTCTTTGTATTGACAATATCAGCAGCTGTAAAACAGGGTTCCAGCTGGGTTCTATCTTATTGAGTTTTGTACAGAACCTGTAATACATTCTGACATCAGAATTTTTGTCCCTGGTGCGAATGGCTCCATGGGAATATATTGCTTAAATGTATTGTTTATTGTGGTAATAATTATTCACTCTCAGTGTGAATAGCCATTTAGACTAAACGTAATTATAGTTACGGAGTGTTAATGTTCCAATAACCAAAGTGGAAAGGAAAATCACTACCTCATCGTCTTCTTTTTCTGTTTAATTGGAAACGTGTTAACACATGTATCATCTCTCCTCAGGCACTTCCGTACCCTGTGTTCTGATGATACTCCCATGGTGCGCCGTGCAGCCGCCTCCAAGCTGGGTGAATTTGCCAAAGTGTTAGAGCTGGAGTATGTCAAGAGTGACATCATTTCTCTCTTCACTGCATTGGCATCTGATGAACAGGTCTGTTTTTAGTAATACTCACTGAAATATACACAGTCTAATTCTGTCATTAATCAAACCACAGCTAAAGTCTCTGAGCACATGTTGCATGACAAGACCATTGGAGGCTTGAAAGGTTTTCATTGTGTTTATGTAACTAGTGCTGGAGCAGTATTGTATGGCAAATATCAAAGTGTTTTCTTCTGACATCTGAATGCAAACATTTACATCACTGCAGGACTCTGTTCGTCTCCTGGCTGTAGAGGCTGGTGTCAGCATTGCCACTCTGTTGCCTCAAGAGGATCTGGAAACTCTGGTAATGCCCACTCTGCGCCAGGCAGCAGAGGACAAATCCTGGAGGGTTCGCTACATGGTTGCAGACAAATTCTCTGATGTAAGCCAAAAGCAAATCATGCGTTAAGTTAATTATATGTAATTGAATTTTATTGGAAAATCCAAGTGTTTATCACAAAATTCCATTTTCATGCAGCGGGGTTGCTTTTCACCCATAATTCTCCTCATGGGCATAACTACATTACTGTTCAAGTTAGGCGCTGGTAGGATTTTGAAAAGTATCTTATGCTCACCTAGAATGCAGTTATTTAAAAACAGTAATATTGTTAAATATTATTTCAATTGAAAAGTATGTTTTCCATTTTAATATTTTTAGAAATATAATTTATTTCTGTGGTGGCAAAAAGGCAAGGCAAATTTATTTATGTAGCACATTTCATACACAATGATAATTCAAAGTGCTTTACATAAAAGGAAGTAAAATAATCATAAAAAATAATCACAACAATAAAACAAGCGATTTAAAAACTTTTAAAATTTTATTTAAAATGAATTTAAAGGGGTCATATGATGCGATTTCAATTTTTCCTTTCTCTTTGGAGTGTTACAAGCTCTTGGTGCATAAAGAAGATCTGTAAAGTTGCAAAGACTAAAGTCTCAAAACCAAAGAGATATTCTTTATAAAAGTCAAGAGTTAACCACCAGTTTTCAAAATCACATGATTTGGTGTTCAAAAAACATCTCTCATCACAGTTGAAAATGGCTGTGCTTTTTAAAATCTTTGTGAAAAATGTACTTTTAAACAAACCAGCTTTAAACCTCTGTCTTGTATTGTGAGCTTGAGGCTGCATTTACACTAGCACAAAAAAATCCGATTTTTTTAACTCACATCGGAATTTGTTGCACATGTGTAAACGCAAAAATCTGAGTCGAGATCTTAATTTTTCGCTTTAAAATGTGGTTTTAAAGCAGATACCTGTGTGATATCTGGACATCTGACCTACGTTTAAACACACACATCCGATTCCCCTCAGAACTCCGAGCCACCACAATGCGAGGGCGACACATTTGACAATAAAAATTGCATTTTAATTCTGGCATGCTGTATGCGCTCCCATTTTATTGAGGTGGGAACTTCATATAGGCAAGAAATTGCGCAACATTCTGGAGCTCGTTTTTAACCCCCGCGCTGTGAATTTTATAAATACAACAGCTTTGTTATATTTTTACAAAGCTACATTATATTTTTCAGCAATGAAGTGATAGCTTAGCTGTTTTTGTAATTAAACCAGCAAGCTTCACTATTATGC